TCAGGAGAGACACAGAAAAACAGCCACCACCAGGTCTTACCTAGCAGAGGTGTACTACGCCAGTATGAAATATCTGAAGGCAGTGTCCTAGGAAGTTCAGTACACAAGGTGGATCCTTCACTCCACAGTCGTTTAGAGCAACGGAGATACTAATTGAAAAATAGAAAGTGCTGCTGTTGTTCAATCACGCTGAATACATTAATGCCACCAACTCCCCCCCACACACACACGCAGTTGCATCTGCATAATGTAATACTAACAGTTATACAAATACATCATCTGTTGCTTTTTTGTCTAGAAAAGCTCACATCCTTAATGGGCGGAACAGATACAGGAAGAGGTAGAGTAATTCAACTTTACATTTGCAACAGACATGTTGGTTCAAGCTAGGTCTGGAACTAGATACTACAAAACTGGGCAAGATAAGCAGGACAGGAGAACCAAAGAAAAACACCAAAACAACCAACCAAACCACGTGAAAAACAAAACAAACAAATAAATTAAAAAAAAAAATCCCCTTTCAACCAAGCCAAGCCAACTGGACAGACTGAGAAGGGGAACATTCACCTACTGTCCAGCACCTGCTAAACAGGTCAGATTTCCCTCAGCAGGAGCAGGAGGGCAGCTCCAGCTCGGCTGCATGGAGACAAAGCACTGCCCCCACCATCCCCTGCATTCACACCAGTTGCTTGCTGGTTACAGCTGAAGAGGGGTCAAATCTGAAGATGGCTAGAGGAAACTTCTGAAGCAACACGTACACAGCTACTTTTGACCTAATGTTTCTAAAGTGATGAAAAATAAATTGGAAGATGTAGCCCCATCTTCAGCCTCTGATCCTTCTCAAAATGCAATTTATCAAACACCTGTATTTTGTCACAGTGACTGTTCAGAAGCAATAAGAAACTGGTTTTGCAATAAGGTTTTGAATATACTTTTGTATACCTATACATGTGCATGCATAGATATGTAAATATGTATCTCAAATTATTTTTATTGAATGTTTAACTTGCCAAAGTTTATCACAAGGAAAGTTGTTTATTTCCTTTAGGTCATGAAAAAAATAAGAACAAACAAAACTAGTGTCACATTTTAACAGGCTCAGCAATGGTCATAGCAAGCACACTCACCTTCCCTTTTACCGTCTCAGCTGTTGTGGGCAGCAGACTGTAGTCAGATTCTAACTCTGCACAGCACTGTTGCAATAGAGAAATAGTTTAAGGCAGGCAGACGTAGAAGAAAAAAAAAAAAGGTAAAAAAGAGAAGGAACGCTACTACTGATTATGAACAAAATAGAATGTTATCTTTTTAATTGAACTATTTTCAGCTATCAGGAAAACTATGCAGTTGTTTCCCCTTGCTACTTTCAACCTTTAATTCTGCAGACCTTTATGCACAAACACAAGTTTTATTCTCATGCAGCTGGTCCACAGTTTTGATTCTGCTCCTCTGATGCCCCTGTTACTGCCTAGGATACATTTTAGGATCTTCTGTTTCTTGTTATTCTATGTTAAAACCAGACCGTTCAGACCCTGAGCTATAGCGTTCCTTACTAGAGCCAGTTGGGAAAAAAGCCTTCCCACAATATCGCCCCCTCCACCCCCTTCCAAACTTGAAGAAAGTATTTTTATTCAAAGCAAAGCACTCCAGAGTTATATAATTTCCAACATATTTCCACAGGGGGGCACAAAGGTAATAACTGTTTCACTGCCTATTCTAATGTCTGGATACCGAAAAATATTTTATAACAAGATTTTAAACATTTGTTTTCAAGACTGTCTGCAGAAGAGAGGGCTGATCACACCAGTGCATCAGGGAAAGCTTCCCTCAGCCCCATTTGATATGATCACCGACAATGGTTTACAGTCAGGACCAACACCACACCTTTAAGTTCTGGCCCATTTTTTCCCAAAGGCTGAAGAAGGAAAATAATAACGTGCAGATCAGTACATACAGTTTACTGCCTCCACAGTTATGTACATGTTAGAAAGAAAGAAAGAAACCAGATACTGCCAAATTACTTGCAGTTCGTCTGAGCTGTAGATGTCCTTCCACCAGAGCACCTCCTGTGCAAGCCTACCTTTTCTTCTCCTACCAAACAAGCGTCATACCTGACACAGCAATTCACAGAGTCGCCTTTGAAGCAGTTCCCATCTCAGTGCATTAGCAGTTGCTATGAAGACACATTTACAAGTCTTACAGGGTTCCTTATAATTTGATAAGAAGTAGTCAGATGTTATAGTGTCTTTAAACCTGCCTATCGCAGGGAGACAGTCCTGAAGGGCACTGTATCAGAAATAGTGTGGCCAGCAGGAGTAGGGAAGCAATCGTGCCCCTGTACTCGGCACTGGTGAGGCCACGCCTCCGACTACTGTGTTCAGTTTTGGGCCCCTCACTACAAGAAGGACGTTGAGGTGTTAGAGCGTGTCCAGAGAAGGGCAATGAAACTGGTGAAGGGTCTGGAGCACAAGTCTTATGAGGAGGGGCTGAGGGAACTGGGACTGTTTAGCCTGGAGAAGAGGAGGCTGAGGGGAGACCTTATCATGCTCTACAACTACCTGAAAGGAGGTTGTAGCGAGGTGGGTGTCGGTCTCTTCTCCCAAGTAACTAGTGATAGGACGAGAGGAAATGGCCTCAAGTTGCGCCAGGGGAGGTTTAGATTGGATGTGAAGAAAAATGTCTTTACTGGAAGAGTGGTTAAACATTGGACCAGGCTGCCCAGGGAAGTGGTTGAGTCCCCATCCCTGGAAGTATTTAAAAGACGTGTAGATGAGGCGCTTAGGGACATGGTTTAGTGGGCATGGTGGTGTTGCGTTGACGGTTGGACTCGATGATCATTAAGGTTTTCCAACCTTAATGATTCTATGATCACAAACCCATTGTACTTTCCTTTAGTCTAGTTATACCTACAACAGTTTTTCATAGGAAAGAAAACTTTAAAAGTGCATTTTGTTTTGAGAGTTCCACCCTACAGAAAACACTGGGCACTTTTTCTTCCCTGTGGTTACCTTTCCCCATGCTATGAAGGGGGGGCAATGCTTCCCCACATCGTCAGCATTAAGGTGCCACAGTTTCCTGTGGAAATGGATGACTCCATTACGACTTACTGGAAGAGAAGCTTTTGTCCTTCCAATCTGATATCCTGTACAGAAGTTTTAAAGTCGATGGGCTTTATGTTATACTTAGAAACATTCTTTCTTGGTAATGCCACGGCTTGCCTCTGATGACTTCTACCTTGATATAAGTCTATCATAGCTTTTATACCACAGCTAATAACGGGTGGGGGTTGGTGGTGAAAGGAGATTTCATTAGCACTGTCACTTCAGTGCCCAAGCAAAAATTGAAGGCAGCTCTCAGGAGCTTGTTCAGCTTTTTCACTGGATGAGGGCTGTAGCTATTAGTGGCAAGGCACGATTAGACATCTGAAACATAGAAGGAGCTATGCCAGGCTGACTTAGGTTGAGTAGTAGCTTCCCTGGCCAACAGGTTCCCTAACTTCTCATCTCTTACCACGCAGGTGGGATGAAGTAGGGGATGGAGTAGGTAGGTGCATGGGGAAGATACCACAGCCCAGCCCTTCAGTCAGAAGGGGCGCTAGACCTGTCTGGCTTTCTGCAGGAACCAATATAAAGCATTGTCCTCCCCCACTCCCATCCTTGTTTGTCAGCCCTGTTCTTCATAACACTTTGCAACTTCTCTACACATCTACCAGTTTATTTCTATTTATCTACAGAAAGATTTCTGCAAACTACCTGGAGTCATTTAAAGCCAAAGTCTCAGCCATTTTCAGGGTGATGATTTTTTTTGGGGGGGGGGTCCCTTTGGGTTTGTTTTTTTTTTTTTTCTTCTTCTTTTTTGAGTCACAGTGGCACCAGTCTCTTCCACGTCTGGGGTTCTCTCTCTTTTCATTTACTCTAGCTCACTTTGCAGAAGAGCTTTGTCTCTTCAGAGCTGGAAAATGACACACTATTTCCATTGTTATGCCTCTTGCTAAAAAGCCAACGCCACAGTTTGAAGGAAGCAGTAAGCATGAAAGCAACATGAGCGCGCACACATGTGAACAATGCCAAAATACTGGTCAGAAGTCAGCACGCAGTCTTGAAGCTGTTTCTGCCACATCAGTGCATAACAGTTGTGCCTTAGAGCTAAGACAAAGGGTCCCATGTAATTTTTCCTACAAGACAAATTGTAGTTTCACATAAAGTTGTTTACAATGCACATATATGTTGAGCATCAGTCACATTGCCCTGGAAAATGCATGCCTGAGGCCAAACATTCAGTGGGCTTCAGTCAAATTTTTTTTCCTATAAGTGATACGCACTCCAGAATTTGGAAAGAAAAAGCCACGTGTGCTGGAATCAAGCCACTGCATTCTTTAATTGCCCAAGCTTTGGAGGTGTTGGCGTTAGCAAGTGAGCAAGAGGTAGTATGAAGTTTCCATGGTTCTGTAGCAGAAGTTGCATGTGTACGATGCAATGACATGACTGCTTTCTACTAAAGAGAACAGCCTAATACCATGCAGTTATTCAAAAACACAAAGCAAATGCAAGCAGCAAGCAGAATGCAGAACATAAAAATCCAGTCTATTTGGTGCAGGAAGCTTAAGAAAGAGGAATGACTTTGTTAGGAATAAAGTGGGCTATTCAGGTGTGGGAACAGCACCTTCAGTGCCAGTGTCACCCACGGAGCGGCTAACCCTATTAACCCTTCCTCCTAGGACTGGAGATTTTGTTAGGAGGTTCTGCAGCTTTGGTCCAGCCCAACACTCACTCATTGGGATCCCACCTGATTCTCAGCCCAGATGCCATGGTTGCGGATCTCTTAAAGGAGAAGGAAAAATAGAAAGAAAGAAAAAACAACAAAAACCCCAAAACCCCAAACCTCCACAGAGCATTTTACCGGATGACCTGCAGATCAGTCCTACTCCCCCCTTGCCATAACTAAACCATAAAGGATTTGCCCGTGCAAGAGCGAATGCTGGCACACTGCCAGCAGTTACTCACTTTTCTGGTCTTCCACCTTTTCTTGAAGCAACTGGCAAGTGCTTGTTAAAGCTGCATTCACATCCCTGAGTTTTTGCTGCTCAGAAATGGCTTCCTCTAACTTGCATTTCAAGGATGCGGCTTCCTCACAAGTAGAGTGAAAGGCTTCAACTTGATCCTCCGCCTAAGCACAAAACAATATTTAAGAAAAAAAGGGAATGGAAAAAAAAACATAAAGCAGCCTGGCTAACACAAGGAGCCTCTACAGTTCATGTAAATGAAACCAAACTGCATCTGTTCTTTCTCAGGAAGCGATAAAGCTCCCTCTGAACTTCTGCATTTTTACGTTGGGGTGGACTGTGTATGGAAGCTATTTTTGGTGGTTTTTTTTTTTCTCTTTTCTTTTTTTTTTAAGCCACCACAAATATGCAATGCTGCCTCTTTCATCAGCAAACTGTTGTCACCACCCCCTCAAATTTTACTTCCTCTGCTGGTTCCACTTTTGCAATGAGGCACTCCATTCTGAACATGCGATTTCCTTTCCCAAGAGCTACGATGCATTGTATGTAGCATTTTGCATCTGCTTGCTTGTTTCCTGCATAGAAGGAACTAGACTGTCCCTTACCTGTTTGCTGGCATCCTCAAGCTGCTTTGTAGCTTTTTGCAGCTCTAAACCAAGGGTTTCAGCCTGGCCAGCGATTTCTTCTTGTAACTGTTTGACAGTTTCTATCTCACGTTGCCTATGGGGTGAGAGAGCAGAAACCATAATCTGTTACTGACATTTTAGAGCAGGCATGCCCAGGAGATGACACATGCTAGTTGTTGAGACATGCATCAAGAACTACATTCAGCTGTTACATATTGCAGCTCCCCTGGACCCAGCACCAGGGACTTTGTTCTTGCTAAGCACAATTCAACCCAGTAGGCAAGACAAGGCTTTTCTATAGCAGCTCCAGAATTAAAAAGGGGATGGAGGTTTTCCCTGGTTTCTCCCCAGCTGAACAGTGCAATGGCTGTGCCAGCCTCAGCCAGCTGGGTACCATAGTGGAAGCTTGTGGAATATCCAGAGAACTCTCAAAGAGCAAGAGCTTAGTGGGCAAACTTTTGCAATTTGATCAAAAGAATGCAATGTCTCATGGTTTGGGAGAAATAGTAATTGGATATAGAGTCAATCATTCTAGAAAAGGTATCCTGGAGCTATTACTGCAGATACACAGCTTCATTGGATTAGTTTCCCAGTGTTTCAGAGGGTATTTCACTTGACAGCAAGCAGATGCCATCAGAACCAGTGCTAAAGAGGATGGCTTTCAAGGAACCCCTTCTTCTCCACTGCAGAAACACTTTGCCTGTTTCTTCTCTAACTCACCTTCATTTTTTTTTTCTTGTTGCTACCACCACAAACAATTTTGTTACAGAGAGGCAGCTTTAAGAAAACAAGCCATCAGTATTTTTATCAGCTCTCTTCAGAGTGAAGGGAGAGCATGTGGGAGGTCTACATTAACAAAGTTAAGTGGAAGATAAGTCAGGCAAAAGTGCAGTATGACTGCTCCGCATTAGGTCTCAGGGATGCAAAGCCCTGGGAAGCTGCTTACACCCCAAACCCAGGTAAAGGCATGCGTGCAAAAATCTACATTTAGCATAGGATAGCAGAAGGCTGACACTGTGAGTAAGCCTGGATTCCATAAAGACAACAAATTCAGATTAGTTGTTCTGGCAAAAAAAACTTGACTAGCTACTTTCCTGAACATCTGAAGAGAGGAGGGAGGGCGGGCAGGCAGAGGTTTACACCTGCTGCCTTTTGCTGCCGTATTTGTAACATCAAAACTCATAGCAAGGAACCATATGCCAATAAACTAAAATTTAAAGTTACATTTTCATATTTAATGAGATAACTCATTGAAGCTTTACCCTTGAGAAACTGAGACATTATATCATCTGGGGCTAGCAATTGTCTCCCAAAGCAATAATACTTGCAGGCATATATTTTACAGGTCTTCTGCTTCACACAAAACCAGCAGTTTATTTAATGGTTGCACCTGCTAGATAGGCAGTGCCCTCTTGTTTTAACTGCTCAGTCTGTGGTCTCCCTGGTGTTTTCAAAGACATCTCCAAGATCGTATTTTACTTCATACACAAACCTTAACTCCCACATAGTATAAACGTTATGTTAAAACCAGATCCACTCTCCAAAACAGCAGATCATTTCCTCTGTGAAAAAAAGTCTTCAGAATTCAGTAAACTTTGCTCCACGGGACAAAAACCCCAACCCAAACCAAAAACAAAACATCCCACCAAACAGCTAAGCAACCAACAAAAAACCCCAAATAAACAAAGATGACACACATGCTTTGAAGGGGTACCTAGCAGAGAGCTCTCTCCTTAGGTGAAGTTGCTCTGTCTTGGTTCTCCTCAGGTTGCCTGCCATTCGAATAAATTCCTTATCTAGGGATTCTTTGTATTTTTCCAAGAGATGAAGTTTCTGAATCCAAAGGTGTCTTTTTTCTCCTAGTTCTTGCTTGAGAACCTGTAGAATTTTGAAACTGAGTTGCCATGTGGTTAGATGAGGAACAGAGCCAGAAAGTAAACCAAAGCCCCAATTTACAATTTGAATTGATTTCCCTGCTCCACCATTTAGTATCATCACCTACATCCAACACTATCAGCAATAAAGAAGGTGGATGATTGACAATATTTTGTAATCTACTCACACAGCATCTGGTTGGGGAAGGGGGGGCGGAGAGAGAAAAAGAGAAAAAAAATGAGGAAAAAATGTAGTTTAACAAGGAAGAGTTTATAAAGGAGAAACAGGAGTGTGTTTTGTACAAAACAATGTTTCATGCAGTCTAATAGGTTAACAAAGCTATCTAAACTTCAAACCTGTGCTTCTTACTCCTGAAACTGACGGGACGTGGGGACGGACAGGCTAGACTCCTTTCAAGGGTTAGTACTTTAAGACTTTTTTTTTTTTTTAAAGATGGAGCGACACATAACAGTGTGCACAAGAAAACGTAAGCCTTCTATATGCTAGTTCAACTTGACAAATGGCTCCCACTTCAGAAGGTTACTTCTAAGCAAAAGCCACTCTTAGCCTTTCTTTCTGTGCAGATCCAGGGTACACCGATAGTCCTCTTCCTCTTTATCCCTTGTAAAACAACTATACTGTTAGCAAGTATTTATGGCAAGTGTGGCAGAAGATTATATGGTGCACGAGGGAGTCTTTACAACTTACCCCAGAAAACCTCCATCACAAGATGCCCAGATACAGCAACAAAAAACTCATATTTTATAAGGGGAAGTTTTATTAGACCACCTTGCAGGAAGTCCTAAACTTGATAATTTAGACTTCTGTGGCCCTTTCCTCAAAGTACAACTAAGCCCATTGGCACCAATTTGAGTTTGTATTACAGCAAAATAAAATAAAAAACCCAAAACCCAATAAATCCATGTTTCAGTTTGTCATACATGGCTAGCAGATTAAATCTCTTCAAGGGATGACCCCTGTGGCAAAGGCTTTCAGTTTTACCTCGGATTTGTAGGAAGCAAAAGGGGAAGATGGTAAAAATGAAGTGTTAAGTAACATTGCATCCTCTGTATTTCTCCGAACAGCGACTTGCAGTATAAAGTACTGAGAAAGAAGAATCCAGTCCTCTTTCTCTGACCTTGTTCAGCTGAACATACAAAATAGAGTCAGCTTTTAAAGAATGTTTAATGAGAGCCAAACAGAGGTCAGGTAAGAATGAGGTTCATATTTCTGGGATTTTACATTAGTTCAAAGGGGAAAACATCAATCCTACAAATATAGACCATGTTACCTGCTTGCAAGTTAGAGTCTAATGTTGTTCATGAGCTTCAAACAAAAAAAGCGTAGCACATCAAGTATCATGCTATTAAAAAGAGAGCCTGAGCAGTTTTGCTAGATAGGTTTACTAGGATGATGTGAGATGTGACTATGTGCAAATGCCCACATCCTGAAGATCAGTTTCTCAGCCAAGGCAGGCAGCACTTGCTTTTAGAAATAACACAGTTTTGACATGTAAGTGGTATAGGCTTATCAGGACACATGCGCCACAATCTTATCTTCCAGCAGGAGAAGGGTGAAAGTTTTTACTGTCACCATCTATATATGTTTAAATATATGTATATACACAAAAAAATACAGGCACACTTAAAGTTTACTTTGTGTAATATACTTTAAAACATATTTAAATACTAAACCCCAGCAAAACATGTCCATAATATATTTCATAGGAAATGGTGGGGAAGTGTTTAGGCTTTAAGTGATAGTGCACAGTCCAAGATGTAATTCATTTTTCTACAAAAGCTTTCTCTAAGGCTGGAAGAAGCTACTTTGAATCTTTTTTTTTTGAATCTACTGTTGTTCAGCTCCATATACCATATTTCCCACATATCTGGCTTGTTCTAGCTAGGTGAAGACAATAATACATTTGACATGAAGTCACTTCCCATCCCCACGGGTCCCAGAAGGGTGGGACTTTTTATGTTTAAAGAATCCTGTTCTTCCTTGATCCTCGGTTAGCTTAGTTTCCAAATGCATTGCTCTCTACAAGCCAGAATAGGATTCATTTGCCACGATCAACTCCAACACCCACACCAAAAGTTTTTAGCTTCACGTGTTTAACAGGAATACAATCCTAACATGAATGGTAAGTTAACAAGCGTTCTTCAGCTGTGACAGCTTTGAAGGGAGAAGTTTTTAGTCAAGATCAAAAAGTTACAGCACTGCACAAGCCAGCAATTTCCTAGAGTCTACCCAAAGTCACACCAGGGTGAACAGACTGAGACACTTATACCTTCTCCGAGGGGAAGCTTTCAGGGTTTACATAAAAGGAAAAAAAGAAAAAAGAAAAAAAAGAAAAGCTGGCTGCAGGACTAGATGGCTCCAATGATTGCTCCTGCCTGCCCAGGAAAGATGAAGAGGGCCAGCTACAACATTTTGCAGCACTAGAGGAAAAGAAAGGTAGCTTTCTGCTTAAAAGCTAACAGCTTAAAGCAGCAGGTACTGTGGTGCCACCTGCTATTACCCAAGTAGGATGAATTGAGGTTTTTGCATCTATTAAGGAGCTGAAAGACAGCATTAATATACAGTTTGGTGGAGTTTTCTGTAGCAGTGTTCCTAATAACAGATTAGTAACAAGGACCAGGTTAGAGAAAAAGCTACATTCAGTACAATGAAAATTTAGAAACCGTGCTGTTAAATGGGAGGGGAAGAGGGAACAAGAGCAAGAGAGTTGAGCTGTGTCCACAGACTGCAACTACCACATGGGGAAGTTATTCTTGCCAGTTACCTTGAGCAAAAGTCTTTACTTTCAAGCCTCACAAGAGGTATGAGGCATGGTAAAAATACATTATGCAAGGTTAAGTTGTAAAAGATGTTTTTGTAGAAACTTTTCCTGTCGAGTATGTCCAGCAAAAACAGAACACTCTGCCTTTCAAAAGAAAGCAAAACCTATAAAAGGTTTTGATTTGGAAGTCTGGTTATATAAAGCCACCTCCCTCCTCCTCTTGATGGTGAAACCATCCACTACCATAGTCAGATTCGGAGCACAGGGGAAAACGGGTGCTCGAGGCACCCAGAAACATGCAGTGGGCAGAAAACCTTCATAGCTCATACAATATAACATGGCCACCTGACCTCATTTTCCTCTTCAAATCACCTTGCTTCATCTACCCTTTCCTTCAAGCATAGTTTTAACGAAGTGAGCTCTTGCACAAGACAACTCAGGAAAAGCATAGCATTTAAGTGAAAAACAGTCATCCCCTTCCTCCTCCTCCTCAAAAAAAAAAGGCTACAAAAGATATTTCTCTCCATACAGCCATCTCTGACCCCCAAATGGACTGCTATGATCTCAAGTAATTAATACACATAGCATGCAGGAGTAAGATACCCACCTTAAGTTTTTGCACAGCTGCACTATTTCATAAAATAGCTTCAGAGAAACAGTTACTTACCCCAAGTTTTCTTTCCCAACCCTGTTGCATGTTCACATCAGGATCTTTTACCCACTGTAAAGAAGCCATGACAAGTTCCTCTGCTTCAGAGGCTTCCTCTTGCTGAAAAACAAAACAAAACACCCCCACAAAACAACAAACAAAAACCCCTCCAAAACCAAACATTAACACCCTCTCCAGACCCCGGCATTTCTAATACTAGTCTGACACAATGCTGCCCAGAATTACCCAGGTTATAAGTTAGTGTTAGAGTAGGTGCCAAGTGATATTGCTAAAGTATGCCCGCCCCCCCCCTCCCCCAAAGAAGCTATTCTTATTTTTTTAATAGGAGTAAACATGATCTGATTATCAATGCTTGGAGAAATCCTAATTAAAAGCCTGATAGAAGACCCCATCCTTGTTCATATAAGCTCTGCCACTGACCAGGTTTTGCATGATAGCATTAAACTTTTCTCCCACATATTCAGGTCCCTGAAGTAAAAACAGCACTTCACGGTCCAGTGTTTCATCCAGGAATGTCCATTCAGTCTTGGTAATCTTTGAAAAGATGGAAGAGCCATCTAGCTTATTTTGACATCTCCTTATTACAAGCCAGCATCAGTGACATTTAGACTTTTCTGAAGTATCCCTGCATTGAATTTACCAGAAGGTCAGAGCTACCGAAACTTGAAGCTTGTAAAAGCTTTTCAAAACCATCATGTCATAGGGATTTAAAAAAGCAAACCAGCCAAGCTGCTGAGTGATCCAATGTAAATTTTCATGTCACAAGTAGGCAAGAGGAAGTCAATAATTAGTTATCTTTATTCAGAAGGGGCTTTACCAAGTGATGAATAAGCAGAGCCCTTATTTACTTTACAGGTGATTTGGTAGAATCGTGTCTCATTACAGCATTTGAGAGGTAAACACAGTGACTCATTGTAGCTGTGGGGAGCTGCAATATGGGACAATACATTACTTTTGAAAAAGAGCTGCCTAGCCAAGTATAGCTCTCATTTCTGGGCCTGTAGTTTTAGTCCATTAGTAGATTTTTTTTTTCCTGTTGCAAGTGCACCACTTACAAAAGCAAGTAGCAGCACAGTGAGGTCTTACAAAACAAATATATGTTATTGCAGTGGTTTTTCCATCAGCTCTGCTGCAGAACTTGCATCTAGAGGGATGACAGCACTGTAAGGAAGGATGGGACTCCATGGAATGTCTTTAGGGAAATGGGCACAGAATAGCTCAGATAATCTGAACCAAAACCATAACGTACATGTAAATTGTTTTTTCCAGTAGTTCTCCATTGGAGTGCTGTAAAGCTATGAGAACAGTACAGGCCAAACTTCCAGTGTTATGTGACGCATGTCTGATCAAAAGTGCAGTTCCCAGAAGTCACCAAACCACCTGCCAGGTGTTCTGCAGAGGATACGGGGGACACTACAAAACAACAGGCTCAACTGCAGCGCTAAGATTTTGTCAGCCTGTGCCAGATTCATCAGAAGGGTGCTTCGCCTGTCCTCCTCTGAGTCACTATCCAAAGATCTCAAAAAAAAAAGAGCTGGACAGATCAGTCTCCATTGTACCTGCTGAGGGGCAAGGGAACGGTACCTACAGACAGATGCTTATCAGAGTTTTAAAGAATAAATTAGATGAAGATTCTACAACCTTGTCAAAATGCTTACTCTAATGCTTAATTTTCTTTTTCACTACCTTAGACTTCAAGGAAAAAGAAGTCTCCCCTCCTGCAATTGAAAAATCATTGTTTGTGTCTGGTGTAGGCAGTACAAGAAGAAACAGACTTTCTTCAGCATAATAGCCTTTATATATTTGAAAACTCATATCTTCTCCCATCAGTTTGTTCTTCTGCCAGCTAAATGCATGACCCTAGCTCTTCCAGATTTACTTTGTAGGTCTCATTTTTTAGATCTGAGTGTTTTGTTTTGGACTTTCTCCAATGTACTTGGAACAATGTTGCAACCTTCACATTTATGCTTGCGTGCTAGGATTAACGGCTTTGAATTCCAGGGTTATCTAATGATCTACAGGGAATGAGCTTTGTTCTCCCTTTACTGATGCAAGACAACTGGGATGAGATTCAATAAAGACTTGATTCATACCTCAGAAGACTGAGCAAGTTCCAGTTCACAGTGCAGTGAATTCGTCTCTTCAGGAAGATTACTGTTTAATTTACACAACAATGGGAAACTCAACCCATTTCTAAAAGAAGCAGAAAAAAAGTATCAGCCCTTTTTGACTTTTGATGAACTGCATTTCCTGGGACTTGTTCACAATACTCACGAGATCAGCTCTTGCTGCATGTGTTGTATGTTCTCCAGTAGCTTATTTTTTTCTGCCCGCAAAGTCTAAAACATACATCAGACCTGGTTAGAGTGTTAGTTTGTCATGCAGAATAAGCATAGGATATGTATGCTTTCCCCTCACATAGTCAAAAACTCAGCTTGGTCCCATACCTCTATTACTGAGGAACACTCCACAATGGTTAACTTCAGTTCTTTGATGTCCTGCTCCTTCTGCAGAGATTGTGGAGAAAAGAACCTTTAAAGTACACAACCCAACAACTAGCATGTTGAAGTGCATTTGTAATACTTACAGCTATGATGCTTTTGTAACCAAAATAACACTATACTAAATCCTACATCACAGCAGCAAGCTGTACGATTCAGGTTTGAGCAGCAACCTAATTACGTAACATGAAAATAGTTGCAAATTTAAAAGAATACAACCAATTACATTGCATATTGGCTAGCAGAAAGCACTCAGAAGACCTTTTCTATGTAACTCCTGAAATTAAGGAGGCAGAAAAACTCTTTCCAGCTGCTGTGTTTGTGTTTTAATTTATTACTTACCTGGCTTCTGTACCAGCAGTAGCAGATTAAACTAGACAGAAGCACTCTAGTTTTAGCTGAAAACCTGGACTATATTATGCCTGGCACAAGTTTTAATCCCAACTGACCCTTAAAACAAGTTGCAATATTCTGAGTTTACTGTCATTAGTTTTAATCATTAAAGGCATGGAGTGTAGCTCTCTGCAGATTAAACACCGTCTAATGGAAGGGCTGATAGAGAATGTATCAACCCTCATGGTAAGACTGGGGAGTTAGTAAAAGTAGTAGCTTTCTTAGCATCACAAACTAGCAATGGGCTTCAGTCATGTTATGCCATTACAGTAGAATACACTCCACAGAGAAGCAGAGCATTTCTTAGAGAAGACAGGAACTTCAAGTAGGAGCTCTGGTCCTCTCACCCCTTTTATGACTTCTTCCTACTCTTCCTCTTTAAAAATAGTTAAGGTTTTCGAGAGAGACGAAATACACAGAAAGCTAAGCAGGAAAAGCGAGGTTATAGAACCAGGTTTCCAGCCTTGGCAGAGACAACTGATGTATGGTGCTGAAGGTTTAAAGGAAAAAAAATAAAGTGTTTTCTATCTTCACATGCCTTCTGCAGGCCTGGAAAAGAAAGGTTGCCATAATAATTTTCAGTGACCATCAGTCCTATCCAATCTACCTTTGGATAAAGAGCTATGAGAGGGGTTTGTTAGCTTACAGGTAAACCCTTATCCCACAGATCCTAATACCAGCAAGCAAAGTCAGTTTTCCACACCAGTTTCTTCAAGATTATACAAACCAGTCACCTTTATCTACAAGAACATGCAATCTAGCAGTCTGCTTTCAAAATACCCATTTAGTCAATAGACTAAAAAAGCCTTTTTAAAATAAAAGGATACTACAGAGGCCACAAAAGCTTTGAATCATTCAAGGAGGAGAAAGTGAAAGCTATTTTTAAAAAAGTTAGTTCATTTGTGCCCTTAAGCTGCTTCTGGAAAAAAAAACAAACCACCTATTAAAAACCACTCAGCTACAAAATTATCATCTGGATCACATTGAAGTTAGGTTCTGTCTTGTCACTATTTGACTTCAGCTGCACTCATTTTTGCAGACAGCCTAATAGTCAAATATTTCATCAGCTGATTTAGAACACATTCTACTAAATAGAAGCTTCATTAGCCTAGAAAACTATTCGCATAATTCATGAATCCAGAGAATGCCAACACCCTTATGTAGTCTTATTTCTTTGTTTTATAATACAAAATACATGTTTAAAAACAACATCAGAAATGTTCACTCCTCAGCAAATACTAGATAGTTACACCTCAGTAATGAGAAAGGACAAATTTGCTTTTCCATTGGGCTCTGAATCAGCATTTCTAGTTTGACACAAAAATTAAGTAATTTAAGTAAAAGACATGAAGGGAAGGATCTTCTGCACGTAAATTCTTTTACCAACTGTTGAAGGAAGTAGCCTTTAGAAGTTTCTGTACATTTTTCTGAAGTTTGCAAGTTTGTTTTAATAGGTTGTGATTTTTTTCTTTTTTTAAATAAAAGCAAAATCCTGAAACATTTAATTATGCTGACTCATAACCAGGTCCTAAAGCAGATCTCGCCTACTTTGAAGCCATTTATAGGATCAGGTTCTGTAGTGCGAGAACAGTAGAAATAAAAGTGCCACAGTGAAGACTATTGCCTTGCCTTTTTACAAACCATCCCATAGTCAGTATTTTCAGTCAAGACAGTAACGAAGTAGAAGCGGGCTAACCTGGATCAAGCTTGCCTCTTTATTCACCATAGTGCTCTCATAGATATGTGCTTGGATCTAAAGAATGAAAAGATCAAAAATAATTCCAGTCATCAGTATGCACTATAATACAAGTCCGCTCCTATCTCCTATTTGGAAGGGAAAAAAGGTATCAACATTCCTTGCTTAGAAAAATCAAATTCTTCTTTGAATACCTTGCATGGTGTGTTTCAAAGTTCAAATCTTGCACCCAGTTAAAAGTGAAAGCGTTCTCAGCTTTCAGTCACCCTTGTTTCCTCTTGTCTGTCCAGGCTAATAGTTTCAGCAACATCAGCCAAAGCATGACTTTCTAATATGTTTTCTCAAATAGTGAGGAAAAGGTTTCCTAAAAGTTTAACTTAGAGGAAAAAACAAAACAATGGATTGTTTATAGTAGCCCAGTTTTTAGCCTCCAGACAGCAACTTTCTTAGTCAAAGCTGTTGCACTGTCCAAGTTATGATTGCACTGCAGTTTTTAATACAGACAGGTTCAGGGCTGTCTACCCTGACTAGACCTGAGTAAACTATAGGCTGTCTTTTTCTTCCTCCTAGAGTTGAAATGCTTACTTGAAGATCTGCAGCATTTTTAGACAGCTCCAAAATCTTCTTTTGAAGTCCATCGGTGTCCATGCTATTCCTAATATTCTGAACAAGATACAGAGTATTTAGGCACAGCTGAATGGATTGACAGCTTCTCCTTGAAGAAACTAGACAAAATGACATCTCCACCCCCAAGCTACTGCCTACTCTAAAGCACTACCAGCATTTATGCACATACATTGTATGTGCTTGCCCCACTGAAACTGTTTCTGCTACTTTTCCCCCCATTTCTCCAGAGCACTGTTAAAAGAGAAAACCTCAAAATGGGATTTATAAGCACTACCAGACCTAGAAAGCTAAAGAAAAGCTTTCAGGCCTGCAAGCATGAGAATTATTTTTGGAAAGATGCTGTTTAATAGCTATTTGGACTTACGAGCTTGTCTGAAAGACTGATCTCGAGCATGGTAAATATGCAAAGAACAGTGGCTACCATGTTGTTATTATAGATTCCTGAATCCACAAGGTGCTTCTTTTCATTGCTATGTATGATTTAACCTGTTTCTCTATTTCATCCTAAATAGTCTAAAACACAGGCTCTAAGCAAGTATTAAAACATTTTATCACCTGATAAAAACTAGTTTATAAAATATTTACTTTAATGAAATAAATAAAAGAAAATAAAAATGAATAGCTCTCCTCTGAACAAAAAAAAAAAAAAAAAAAAAGAGAAAAGAAAAAAAGAGAGCCTAGAGATATAGCTTCATTAGCATTATATTCCCTCCAAGCCTTCTGTAGGTCCTTGGCCAGTGTCAATGGACCCATCTGTGAGTGGAGCCCCCAGCCATCATTTTTTTGGAGTTACAGCTCTATACAGGATTCCTCCTTTAGATCTTAAAGGAGGGAAACAGAAGTGAATATGAAATGAAAAAGTGTTAGGTGGAGATTGTTTCAATATAGAGTTAGTATATTTATAGCTGTGTTAACTAGAAATATTTGGAATTTGTCTATAAAGCTTTGACAAAGAGGGAAAAAAAAAAGCTGATTGTCCCTGTTCCCCATACCTCCCCAACCTCGTATCCTTACCTATCCAGCAAAAGGAAAGTCTGAAGCACAGTGCAACTTCCAGATATAAAGCTTTATGATAAGTCATCCTTGTAAAGTGTAAGATATTTTGATAATCTAATTAGCATGTCAGGCTTCAAAGTCTGACAAACATTTCATTTCTTAATGGTGAGCTTTTAGCTGTACAAGAATACGTACTTGCAAAGTCATGATTTATTTTACCTCTTCCTGGAGAGAAGTAATTTTCATGATGAGAGCCTGATTTTCTTTTTCCTGATCAGGTTTATTTAAAAAAAAAAAAAAAGAGAAAAACAAAATAGTTGCTTTTAGCATGTCAAGTTCAACATTCAAAGCCCAACTAAGCCAAAAAGCAACAGACCACAAACACATCCAGAGCCCAATATGAAGCTGTGGTGTTGCACTCCTTTGCTTCGGAGAGCACAGCAAAAAAAGGGGAGTGCTGAGGCTGGTCCAGCCCATGAACCCTCGCTGAAGGGTTTGACACAGACATTTCAAATCAGAGTAAAACTCAGACCACTAGATGATAGGAAGGAGGTATTCAAGGCCAGAGTGAGTCTGGTTGTGCTTATGCTTGACTTAAGACAAGTCTGGAAAGCCTATGTGCCACACTACACTTTTTTCATATCAGACATGAAGAAAGCTAGTAGTAGCCCACTCGGTGCCTCCACTGCACAGGGAACAGTAACTAAGGGACTTACAAGCACAAGTACAAAACTTCTAATAATATTTCTCTCTCCCACCCCACCTCCTTCTCACAAGGTGAATTATGCATGTAATCTCAAATTAAAGCAAAACAAAGATATACACACACTGCAGCAGGATAGCATCAAAAAATCTTGCGTTCTTGCTCAGCATGGAAGACTTTTTTTGATTTCTAAATACCCACCACCAGCAGTGCACAGAGCTATGGAACACCAATTTACAGCTACTCCTACAGAGGAAGACGCAGAGATGCCACTGTAGTGTGAACAACACGCATGGCAGCAATGCAAACATATGTTCTCCGGAGAGCCTACGCTCTGGTGTCTGGCAACACCTGCGAAAGCTGCAGCCACATCAGCCTTGTTACCAGGCTGCTTTACACCTCTTACAGTCACACAGGCTTTGCTACTCAGACACCAGGGGTGCAATTCAGATGCTCTCACATAGGCAGCTTGTGCTCTTTGAGACAAGCCAAGGTGTGCTGTCTATCCAGCTGTCAGTCCAGAATGGAAAGGATTCCGATAGGCCCTTGTCGTATCTGCCAGCCCATATGGACATTGAAAGTAACCTAGGGGTGTTTTGGAAAGTGACTCTTTTGTGTGGACCTCTGAACCGAGTCTCCTGTCCCTGCTGGTTCTACCAAAAAAAAAAAATCATGTGAATTTCTGGCAGAACATCACCAGCTTCAAAACAGACAGGGCTCAATGATGGCAGCACGAGAGCTGTTGTCTTTAAGCATAATTTCTTGTCTTTAAGCATAATCATATGCAAGGCTGGCCCTTTAATTGTTTTCTTCATTGTAACTTACAATACTTTAAAAGAAACTTCCACGCAAAAACTTCACAGTGTTTTCATAATACTAATAAATCACATTTCAAGCATCCTCAAAAAGCCTCAGTACCTACTGGTACAGAGAAGGTCATACTGCTGTTTTTTACAGTCTGAGCGGTCATGCCATTGTTGCAGCAAGGTACAAGATACTATACAATGTAAGCTAAGAAATAAGAGCACCTACTAGCTGTTTATTCTGGCAGAGTATCTGCTGTCTCTCCTCTTCTGAGAGGTTCAGGTTGTTTTTTGTTTCTTCTAGTTCTTCTTCCAGTGATTTGGCTTTCAGCACAGAATGCTGGATGCTGCGTGGGGGCGAATTAAACCCAGAAAGACTTCAGCAAGTTACTGTTGGTCATTAGATAGGCTTGAAATACCAAGAACAGTATTTTTAGAAGCCACCAGGGACTTACTCTTTGGCACAGATACTTAACAGAAGAGCAACAATCAAGTTTAAGGCCATCATTTTTGTCCAGTAAGTAAAGGCTCATGGACTTACCCTCTATTTATCACGCCCTTCTGCTCTCACGGTAAGGGATGAAACCCCAGGCAAACATAGCATCCAAGATAGCATGCTTTTGTTTGCATCCATCTAACAATCTAGCTTGTTACAGTCAAATATATCAGGTTACCTGAGCACATAAACTCATCTTCACAATACTTCATTGTTAGCAGTTATGGAAACCATTTCAGTTCAGTTTTCAAGAATAAGCTCTGCATCATTTTCTTATCCTGATCTGATACCCCAAACAATGTATATTTAACCAATGGGGCAAGGCCCTTTTCCTGGCTAGCTCTAAGCTGCAGAGCACCTCAGAGCACATGGTCCAACATGAGGGCACACATCCCATGCCAGCTACGCTGTAGGACTCTTGCCTTAGTCTCCCTAGAAGATACTGGGAACGGTTTGGCAGTCAACATAATTATATCACATTTTAATTAATAGGGTCAGATGAGCATTATGAACTCACTGTAAAAATAGGCTCATACTCGTCGCATTGATGGGTCCCCAGGCTGCAGCAATACTAAACTAGTGAGACAACTCACTTTAGTTCCTCAAGGGACTAGCAAAATAGCTCTTACGTGCTCATTTCCCCTCTGCTTGGCAGCAAGTGTGTGGTCTAGGATTGGAAGCCTTCCAGTGCTTGGCTGTACTCTTGGTAATATTAAGCCAATTTTTTTTTAAATTTTTTAATTTTTTTAATTTTTTTTTGTTTGTTTGATTTTTCTTTACCCTAAGATTTTGCCTGTGTGCACCTACAGCACCTCATGCTGCAACAGCCAGGCTGTAAGATGAATGACTGATTTTATAAGAACCAGGAGGTACAGAGCAGAACAAACAGGCATGAGGGTTAAACCTTACAGATACTACATTAAGTCAAGAAAGTTGCTGTCATGAAGCACGGGTGAGGCTAAAAGCATAAAGCAAGGCTGGACCACTTGGAAGAAGATAGGTCTGCCCATGGCCATTACACTGTAGACCTGGTGCCATCAGGGTCTCCCACCTTTTTATTTGTTGACGTAGATCTTCACAGTCTGCCAATAGCTTATTGTTGGTCTCATCCACAGCTTCCAGTGTAAGTTTCAGCTTGTTGTTCTCTTCCTGAAGCTTCTGGTTGTTGTACTGCAGGTCCGCAACACAGGTTATCAAGTCAGAAGTCTCCCTGTTCCAGTAACAAAACCAGGAAAGATTGAGAAAGGTGATTTGATCTAGTTTAGACTTTTTAAAAATCCTGATGCTGTGCTGCACTGATTAGAGAAGTGAGAAGAGAACCCACAGAGGACTTGTAATGCTACAGTGTACAGTCTTTTGCTCTGCACAGAGAGATCATCTTCAGATCAGTTCTCTAATTATATGGACACCAGGAATTGTTTTGTTTTTAAGCACTTTTTTTTATGCTCCCTACAATTGAAGTATGCCACCAGACAAGTGCCATATCTGGATGTCTGCATGACAGTATCTTAAGCCCTTGTTAATCACCTCTTACGCCACCATTAATACTTTTTGTATTAACTCCACAATTTCTGGATCCTTTCTTTTCCCCTAAACCATCCCCAACGTATGCTTTCAACTGAAACTTGAACAAGAATCACCCTTCTGAGATCCTGAGAAATGATAGGGAAGCATCAGAAAGCAGATCTTAAGATTTTTGACTATGCATAAAATGCAAAAGTTAAACACCAGAAGTTTCAAAGATAAGTGCTTTGCTATTAACAGAATCCAAGGCAGAGTCATGACTATAAAAGATAGAAAACCCAAACAAAACCAAGGACCAGATTTTCAGGAGATAATATTTTCTATTGTCATACACCTAAGAACTTGGGGAAGGGAAGGAACCAGTTTAAAAAGGAAGAGAAACACATGGCGAAACTCTGACCACAGGGAATTAAAGAGGGAAATGGACACAGAAGAACCAAGATATCAGTAGGAAAAATTACTAGTGTGTTTTTAAGTCTAAGCAGAAGCCGTGAGGAAGAACGCAATAGCATCAAGAGCTAGTGCAGACTGAGGTCAGTATTAGAAACTCTGCCAAGATAGTTTTCTGAAACAGTGGTTCTAGGAATTGCTCTCAAGTAATTCAAAGCTAGGAGTGCTAAATTCTGAGAAAGAATTGCTTAAATGGACTTACATGTCTCCTTTAGACACATCACCCCCAAAGGCCTCCAAGCTTCCTGATGTAACATTCATCCGGACATGCATCTTTTTTGCTGAAAGAGATGGGGGTTTTGGTTATAGAGTAAGAAAGTGGAGTTTTCCTGAATAAAAACAGAATAAAATGGTCTGCACCTTCAGAGGTGTTTTTATGCACTTTAAATTCCAGGTCTTCCATGCTTGCTGTTGGTTCCTCAGTGGCACCATCTTCCCTGAAACAAGGAAGA